ATATAAATATATTGTTATTCAAATTGTTTTAAGCACTTCTACTAAATCTATTCGAATACACAATTTATAATTTACAATTCATACAGAAAACACATAGTTAATCCTCTGGTATTGTGTCTATATGTTCTTTCACATCAAGATCAAGATGATTTCATTTTGCAGTCATTAACTAAGATCTTAATCCATCTAAAAATCTAATATCTAAGGTCAACAGAATTTAGTAACTCAGTAAAGGAATATAGAAAATCTGTTTGTCGAATCCTTTTTGAAAGGTAAATTAAATTTTGTTGACCCGTTAATATCATCATATTCAATCATAATTAGTTTTTCATAAAGTTCATAAAAAATGATATAAATGAAAATAGAGCTAAGGATGTAATATCTCTAATACTAGCAGATTAATATATGGATATCATAATCTATTCCTTAGATAAACTTATTTATTTAATCACGCTAACTAAGCTAAAATAAGTTCTTAGACATGGTTTATTGAGAACACAAATAACTCCGGAGCATTAATCTTTTAATAGTTAAGCTAAAAGCTTCGAGTCATGTAAAATCTATTTATTGTAGCAGATATGGGAGTAGAGAAGCTCTTGCACACACGTACACCCATAAGTAGAGAATAACAACATAAAAAACAATTCCAAAATAAGCAAAGAAAAGTTATGTATAGTCTTACGAGTGGATGTCATAGCGCCTGGATATTAAGTTGAGTCAAGTGAGTACAGAAAATGATTCAAGTGCACCAAAAGTCGTTCCAGGGCGGTTCAGCCGTAGCTACAAGGTAAGTGCTCGAAATGTATTCAGACTTGAATTGAAGTGCTTCATTTGTTGAGTTGCAACGTTAAATATCATTTAATATATAATATATAATAGATATTTTGCTAAATGCCACAAAAAATGTAGAAAATGCACATTTCATTGAAGACATTCTGATATTCTGACTGTGTTTTGCTTTGCAGTGGCCATCGATTTGATTGTGCAGCACATCCGAGACTTCCTCAACAATCGATCATATCCCGGCTCAACGAGCAATATGGCTTTGTATATGAACATGGAGCTCTGCGGGAATAGTGGCGATGGCGCCATGGGCGCAGGTAAGCAGATGAAGCTACTCTGCAAGGCGCGTCCACACTAACAAACGAGACCTCTGCGCGGGAGCAACTCCTAAATGCACGACAGACATACATAAAAACTAGAAATACATATACTTAACCCTGCATGCTGCTAGATATAGATTGTTAAGTTCTGTGTCTACATCTATATATACATATATACGTAAGTGTAAACTTTCTGTGTGTTTCGTATGTGAAAGATGCGGCTGGTGGCAATGACATCGCCAGTGATAACGGCAACGGCACCTACAATGCCATCAGACGTTTCTCGACGCTTTGCAAGGAGCTGACCATGAAGGGCAACGTCTTCTTCGAGACTAACAAGAATCTCCCACATCATTGAACGCGTAGTAATTGTTATGCTATTGTATTTTGTCTTTAAATAAAATGTAAAAAATAATWATTATAAATAGAGTCAGATCTTGCATTTGTACATCAGGTTTATCTTCCGGATATCGCTGGGCGAGAAGCCGCGCCTTTGGCCCAGTTGTCGCGCATCAGGATGGTTGCGCAAGACTTGTAATGTTGGCTTTCCATTTTTCGAGAAGCTGGTGCTGGAGTAGTGCATCACACTCGCGTAGTCATACCCGATTCCAAAGGCTGAGTGTGTCCTGGCACTGCTCTTCTCAAAGTTGGCCATCATGCCGGGCTTCACATTCTCGCTCAGCACCTTCACATAGTCATCCCGTTCGTAGCGATTCTGTTCGTGGAGAAAGCCAAGCGCATGCATCAGCTCGTGGATGGGAGTGCCGTAGGTGCGTAGGCAGTTGGGTGACTGTAGATTCACCTCCTGCCGGCCACCGAGGCGTCCTATGCTGCTCCAGCAACCAGATTTTCCATTCACTATGGATATATAATCTCTTTCCACTGTGCGCTTCTTAAAGCGGATGCAGGTCTTGGTGTGGTACTCATTAAAGGCATTATGTATATTATCTAGCTCCTGTGGCGTGAAAGTTCCCTTTATTTCATAGGGTACCACGCCGCCAGGCCATCGTGTACTCAATGCCAAGAGGCCATTGCGTGTGTCCTCGCGAAATCTCATAGGTATTAGTATATCGCCCTCGAAGTAGGTGCCCAGCTCTTCAGGATTTTGCATTGATTCCTCGCCGTGTGCATCAACCAAAGCGCCAGTAGTTTCCAAATCAGGATTACCATAAATGGCTTCACCCATCTCCGACAGATCGATGGATTCATCATCCGCATYTGCAATAATTTTAGCCACGATGCTAAAAAGAACCAAAGTAATTGTTAATGTTGGAGAAAACTTTGCCATTTTGCAAAATTCGCAGACTGTTGTAGCTTTAATAAAGTGCACGACTATATATAGATACGTCTAAAGGCCAGCTCCTCTTGCCTAGACCTTCAAAAAATTGCCGACTTGGCGTCGGTACTGTTTGTACTTTTGCTGATAAGAAATTTGTGATGATATCACCTGTATTTCATTTGTATTGCGTACGGCTGCATATCCAAGTGCGTGATTTATGACCGTCATTATGCAGCCCATTTTATGCTCATGTGCATATTCATGTCAAATATAGCAGCCAGTCGCATAGTTTTGCGAAATTAACGATTTAAACAACCTGAGTACTTTTTAACGGCTTCTGGGGATTGAAATTTTGATCAACCATTCAGTGCTGTAAAATGGCTTAGGCGAGTTATCGATACTTAACAAAAATATTGTTGTTGACTACCTATACCTCCGATAATTGTAATGTAATCGTTAACATATTCAAAATACAAATAAATGTATTGAAAACATATAGTATAAATATTAAAAATTAATGATGTATAGGTAGTTATTGTTTAGTAATTTATCGTCATTTGCAGATTTAGTAATCAATAATTTTATTTAATATTTAATTTAACAAGTTAAATACTTTTTCTCTTTGGCGTTAAAGTTGCACTTGCACTTGCCGATACACATTTTGCAATTCGATTTTTTCCGAGATTATAAATCGATCAATTCTGATTTGCCCATGGCTACCTGTTGTGCTCATATACTCATCCCACCAGCCCGCTCACAGACAGTAGTTGTCTTGCTCGCACACACTGTCGGCTAGGGATAGGTGCGAGCGCTCGAGCACGGCTGACTCAAAGTCTGCCTTCTACATGACAAACGAGCGCGCCATTCAGTTCGCATTTTGTTCTCGACCGTGTTAGACGTTTTTAGTTATTGGAGCGAACGCCGGAAGCTTTTGTTTATTTTCCCATTATATGCAGGTGTGCGCGGGTGTTAGTGACTGTTAGTGTTAGCCAATGCAAGCCAGCAACCGTGTATTGGTGGAGCAGCCAATGCTGCTTGCAGTTCAAAAGGGCACACAAAAGCGACAACCAGAAGAAGCAACAGCAGAACAATACCTGCTGGAAGGCAACAAAAACAGCATTTAAGCCAACTCGTTCGTTTATGTTTGTGGCTGTGTAAGTGAGCTTARCTGCGTGTGTGTGTGTATTTGTTCTAACGAATACACAAACAAATCAAACTACTTATAATGGCCAGTGCTATCCGTGAGTATTCGCCGTGTGCTCAATACTCATACTCAAATTCAAATTCAAATTCATATTCATGCTAGAAAGTGTCGCGTGCGAAAGTGTTGAAATAAAACCAGCAGCAGCAGTCGCSCACTTTTTTATATAGCAAAAAAACTAAAACCTGTTCTAGACGCCAAGTGCAAGTAACACACACACAAAAAGCACACACACACGCGCGCGTGAATTCGTGTGTAAAGAGAGAAAAAGGCAATAAACAATAACCAAAACAAGTATCAAACGAAAGAAAACTGAAGCTCAATGTACGCTGCGATCCTTTAAACCAAAATATACATACATAACAAATATAGTGAACCCTTCAATCTTTAGGGAAAAAAAGAAACAATAATTTGAAATTCTACGATTCCAATCCGAAAAACGATAATGGCTATGACTGCTGCGGCTACCTATGCGTCAGCAACCGCCAACAATGCGCACGTCACACAACAGCAGAAACAACAACAACAACGACGACAACGAACAACAACAAATCAGCAGAGACAGCAGCGGCGACTGAGCCGTGCGCGCACGAAAAGCCCAGCTCAAGTGACGTCGGCAGCGCTGTCGACGCTGCTGCTCAAGCGCGCTTGCTCAGCGCCCCAATGGATATTTCTCTTCATATTAATTTATTTAGCAACAGGTGAGTCTGTGTGTGTGCGCGCGCCTGCACATGGTCAGGACCTAAGAGTGTGAATATTGACAATTGTTCAAGTGTGTGTGTGAGCATATTTAAGAGAGAAAGAGGGAGCGTGACCGAGAGCGAGAGAGCTGCTGGAATAACAACATAAATACATACAATTTCATATGACACCATTGTGGGCTCCAATTTTTTGCTGAGCCACATACATGCCTACATACATACACACATACATATGTATTTATGTACACTTTTCGAGTGCATTGTATTTGGGGAGTTTGTTAGCTGTAGTTGTTGTTCTTGTCTGTGTTATAATTGAGCTTATTGTTGCTTGTTTACAAAGCGACATGTGCCAATACCTGTAAAGAGGTCGGCGTAGGTCTTTCAGAAATAATACCTGAGCATAAATAGCTTTTGAATGAGTAACACTCAAAGCCGCTTGCATCAATAAAATACTAATTGTCATTTAAWACTGATAAATTAAATTAAATTTATTGATTTGATATGGTGTTGCTCTTATTTTATATTATATTCAAACCCCATTTTTAAATCTCTGTTGAAACTGAGTGCTTTCTGCTCAATTCTTTGTATGTATGTAATATACAAAGAATAGTTTATTTTAGTGATATTTCAAGCAATATTTAAATGTAAATTATATTTTGTAAATTGGACATTTGTGTAAATTTAATATAATATTTTTAGTTTCAAATTTTATTTTAATTTTTGGCCAACCTAAAAAAAACTCGATCAATATTGAACATTTAATACAGTTTAAAATTTACACAGACATTAAAATATACACAGAAGTCTATTTACACTCGTTTTGTACTTTGTTTATTTAATGAATAAACATTGTAAAAATCATAAATAATTATTGTTGGCTTGCCAAGGTTGTTGAAGCTCGGGATAATAAATCTTTAAAAAAATGACGCATAAATAATGTAAATAATTTTGTCGGGCATACACAGGCTTATCTACCAATCAAACAGACATATGTTTGCTTCCATTTTCATTCGAGTAGATGCCTACATACATCTCTATAATTTACAGGGTATTGAGATCAAATGTAACTGTTTGTCTGGTCATCAACGTCCATTGTGCAAAAGAGCGACCTCAAAAATGTATTTTTCTTTTATTATTAACAATACACACTTATGAATACATTAAATGCGTATGTATACGTTTATTTGTGTACTCACAATTTGTTGTTATGCGCGTATCTTATCTTAGCGGAAAGTAAAGTAATCTTAGCTACAACAAATGCATACGGCAACCGGCAACAGCGTTTGGTAATTTGATAAAGCCGCTATTGCTGGAGGCCAATCTTGGCCTCTAGTTGTAACAGTTGCACTTGGGAAAAGCCCTCGCTATGATGATGCGCAGAAGAAGACGTGCAACAAAAGCAAATGCAACAACAACAACTGGTTTTTCAACCTCATCATAAAACGTAGCTAACGTCGTCTCGTCGATCATCAAAGTCGGGCTTCCATTGAAATGCATCCTAAAGTGAAAATATACTTTATTTTCAGAGGAAAAATCGCAGCGCAGGTAATATTTACAAACGCACATACACACCCAGGGAAAATTACCTGTGCTACCTGCGTCGTTAACGTTAACAACACGTGACCTCGCGGAACCGCCGCGGACGTGGTTCCCTTGCTGCGGGTGCGGGTGCGGGTGTGTCACCCTCGGTCTGGTCAAGTGTTAAAGCGCAATCGGCCGGAACGCGTCTACCATTCAGCCGCTGGGCCTACGCACCCGACTGACGGCCATTGCATGACGCTGTCCATTAGTGCAAGTCGTCAATATAAATTATGCCATGTACTTAAAACTATATGTATAAGTACATAAAAGTATATATAAATGGGGTATATATAGACTAGAAACTGAAACAATTATGGATTGAAAGAAATGGATTAGATGATGAGGGCAGCAAAAGAGATTAATCTTCTTACGTAATTAGGAACCTTTGAAGGCCTAGAAGTGTTACCTGAATTTCTAAGGATCACATTGTGGAGAGGGCGTATAATGATATCATATAGCTAAAATAATAGTCTTTCCTTTATGTTGTAAAATAAAAATTTATCTTTTTTA